CTTCACTGGTGAATTCTATCAAACATTCAAAAGTTTAATACCAATCTATCTCAACCTATTCCAAAAAATTGAGGAGAAGTTTATACTTCCTAATTCATTTTATGAGCCCAACATTATCCTGATACCAAAACCAGGCAAGGGCAACACAAAAAAAGAAAATTACAGGCCAATATCTCTGATGATCATAGGTGCAAAAATCCAAACAAAATGCTAGCATATCTAATACAACAATACATTAGAAGGATCATAGATCACAATCAGGTGGGGTACATTCCAAGAATGCAAAGATGGTTCAATATCCACAAATCAATCAATGTGTATACGACATTAACAAAATAAAAGATATGACCACATTGACAAATGTAGGTAAAGCGTTTGACAAGATCCAACATCCATTTATCATAAAAAAACACTCAATAAAATCAGTATAGAAATTAAGTGTCTCCATGTAATAAAGGCCATACCTGACAAACCCTCAGCTAACATCAAACTCAATGGTAAAAAACTAAAAGCTTGTCCTCTAAGGTCAGGAACAAGACAAGAATGCAAACTCTTGCACTGTTATTCAACATAGTACTGGAAGTCCTAGCTAGAGAAATGAGACAAGAAAAAGACATAAAAGGCATCCAAATTGGGAATGAAGAAAACTGTTGCTACTTGCAGATAACACGATTCCATATATAGAAAAATTTAAAGACTATTAGAAACCATAAAAATGCTATACTATTTCATACTTTAAAATACTTTATATATACTTTAAAATACTATAAAGTTCTAGGTTACAAGATCAATATACAAAAATTCATTGCATTCCTATGCACTTAACAATGAAGCATCAGAAAGAGAAATTATGAAAATGATTCCATTTCCAATTGCAACAGAAAGAATAAAATACCTAGGAATAAACTTAACAAAGAAGGTGAAGGACCTGTACACAGAAAGCTGTTGAAAGAAATTGAAGAAATGGAAAGATATTCCATGTTCATGGATTGGAAGAATTAATATTGCTAAAATGGTCATATTACCTAAAGAAATATACAGGTTTAATGTAATCACTATCAAAATCCCAATGGCATTTTTCACAGAAATAGAACAAAAAACTCCTCAAATTTGTATAGAAACACAAAAGACCCCAAATAGCCATAGAAACTCAAAAACAACCAAAAAAAACAAAGCCAGAGGTATCACACTCCCTGACTTCAAACTATTCTACAAAACTACAGCAATCAAAGCAATACGGTTATTGGCAGAGGTATACAGAGTAATGGAACAGAATTGAGAGCCCATAGATATAGAAAATAGACACACAGATATAGAGAACAAGCTGATGGTTGCCAAAGGGGAGGGGAGAGTAGGATGATGGAAAAAATTTTTAAATTTTTATAAAGAATTGAGAGCCTAAATATAAACCCATACATATATGGGCAACTAATTTTCAACAAAGGAGCCAAAAACATACAATGGAGAAAGGAAAGTCTCTTCAAATGGTGTTGGAGCCCGGCCGGCGTGGCTCAGCAGTTGAGCATCTACCTGTGATCCAGGAGATCACGGTTCAATTCCCCGTCAGGGCATATGCCCAGGTTTCGGGCTCGATCCCCAGCAGGAAGCGTGCAGAAGGCAGCCGATTAATGAGTCTCATCATTGATGTTTCTGTCGCTCCCTCTTCCTCTCTCTGAAATCAATAAAAATATATTTAAAAAATAAAAAATAAATAAATGGTGTTGGGAAAACTGGAAAGTCACATGTAAAAGAATGAAACTAGACTGCTATCTGACACCATACACAAAAATTAACTCAAAATGGATTAAAGACTTGAATGTTAGACCTGAAACAATAAAACACATAGAAGAAAACATAGGCATTAAACTTCTGAACACTGGCCTCAGTGGGGCTTTTGTGGACTTGACCCCAAAGGCAAAGGAAATAAAAGCAAAAAGTAAATGATTGGGACTAAAACCAAAAAGCTTCTGCACAACAACAAAAACCCATCAACGAAACAAAAAGACAAACAACTGAATGAGAGGAGATATTTGCAAATGATACCTCCAATAAGGGACTAGTATCCCAAATATATACGGAACTCATACAACTCAACAGCAACCAGACAAACAATAAAATAAAATATGGGCAGAAGATCTGAATAGGCACATTTCCAAGGAAGACATACACATGGCCAACAGATAGATTAAAAAATGCTCAACATCACTAGTTATAAGGGAAATGCAAATCAAAACCACGAAATACCACCTCACACTGTTAGAATGGCTATTATCAATACGAGAAGAGATGACAAGCACTGCAGAGGATGCGGAGAAACGGCAACCTTCATATATTGCAGGTGGGAATGTAAATAGGTGCAGCCACTATGAAAAACAGTATGGAAGCTCCTCAAAAAATTAAGAATAGAGCTACCATAGGCCCAGCAATGTCTCCTGGGCATCTACCCAAAATTTCTGAAAATACTTATTTGTAAAGATAGATGCACCCCTATGTTCATTGCAGCATTATTTACAATAGCTAAGACATGGAAACAATGTAAGTGTCCATCAACAGATGATTGGATAAAGCTGTGGCACGTGTATATATAATGGAACACCACGTGACCATAAAAAGATGAAATATTGTCACTTGCAACAACATGGGTGGATCTCGAGAGTATTATGCTAAGTGAGATAAGTCAGATGGAAAAGAACAAGAACCATATGATTTCACTCATGCGAAATGTAAAACAAAAAGCAACAAATGAACAAACAGAACAAGTAAACAGAAACAAACTCATAGGTACAGATAACAGAACAGTGATTCTCAGAGGGGAAGGGGGAGTAAGGGGTGGACGAAGTGGGTAACGGGCATCAAATATACGGCGACAGGAGAAGACGAGACTTTAGGTGGCGAGCATACAGTAGAGCACATATAGATACCATATTATACAGCTGTATACCTAAAACTTATATCGTTTATTATGAACCAATGTCACCCTAATGAATTTAATTTTAAAAAGTACAGAGCCTCGCCTGGCTAGCATGACTCAGCGGTTGAGCATCCACCTGGGATCCAGATCTCGGTTGGATTCCCCGGTCAGGGCACATGCCCAGGTTTCAGGCTTGATCCCCAGTGGGGGGCGTGCAGGAGGCAGCCGATCTATGACTCTCTCATCATGGATGTTCCTCTCTCTCTCTCTCCCTCTCCCTTCCTCTCTCTGAAATCAATAAAAACATATTTTTAAAAAAGTACAGAGCCTCATAAATTAAAAAAAAAACAAAACCAAAAAAACAAAACAACAACAAAATAGGAGTGGCCCATAGGTTTCTTTTGAGGGACTTTTTTTTTCTAGTAAGTTTTTTTGTATATTTTCTTCTTTTAAAAAATATGTTTCTGCCCGGCCGGGCGTGGCTCAGCGGTTGAGCGTCGACCTAGGATCCAGGCAATCGGGGTTCAATTCCCGGTTGGGGCACATGCCCTGGTTGCGGGCTTGATCAATGACTCTCTCATCATTGATGTTTCTCTCTCTCTCTCCCTCTCCTTTCCTCTCTCTGAAATCAATAAAGATATATTTAAATATATATATATGTTTCTATTGATTTCAGAGAGAGGCCGAAAGAGGGAGAGAGAGAAAAACGTCAATGATGAAAGAGAATCATCGATTGGCTGCCTCCTGCACGCCCCCTACTGGGGATGGAGCCAGCAATCAGGGCATGTGCCCTGACAGGAATCGAACTGTGACCTCCAGGTTCATGGGTCGATGCCCAAGCACTGAGCCACACCAGCTGGGGTTTTTCTGTTTGTTTTGTTTTGCTTTGTTATCAGAGTTATGCTGGCCTTGTAAAGTAAGTTGGAAATTTTTATATTCTCTGGAAAAGTTAGAGATCATAGGGATTTTCCGTTCTATGCAGGTTTGGTGGGATTTACCTATAAAACCCTCTGGACTCATGCCTTTGGGGGGGAGAGCTCCTTGGATACTTTTCCAATTCCTGCTATAATTATTGCTCTGCTGCGGTGTCTACATGTTGAGTCCATCTTGGTAATCGACAGTTCTACTAAAATATATCTTTAATGCAGCTATTCAAACTTACTATTGCAAGTTTGACCATTTATACTTTTATCATTTGTTAAAATCTCCATATCTGTAGTTATAACCTCTAATACTGTTCATGTGTATTTTCCCTTTTTTTCTCTTTTTCTCTCTTCCTTCCCCTGCCACTTCCTTTCTTTCTTCATCAGGCTTGCCAAAGAGTGGTCTGTTATTTTGGACCAGTCAAAGACGGAGGTTTATCAGTTTTACTAGTCAGTCGCTGTGTTTTTTTCTATTTGTGATGAATGTCTGGTTTTATCTTTAATAATCCCTCATACTTTGAGCTTATTTTCATGTTCTCTTTTTACCTTCTTGAGGTGAAATCTTAGTTCACGAAGAGATTGAAAACACAATCTTTTTTGCTTTTCAGGTAAATCCACTTAAATTCTATTGATCATTTGAGTACGGCTTTGTGCCACCTCACACATTTATCATTAACGTTGTCGAGCCCGCTCACTGAGCTTCAATGTCAGCTGCTAGGTTTTTCAGTTATTTGGTTCTTCTTTAGGTCTATTTCTCTGCTGAAACCTTTTATTTTTTTATTTGTTTCAAGCAATTCATAATTTCTTGTTGAAGCATTTTTATCGTGGTTCCTTGAAAATACTTTTTTCGCCCCAGGTAATGCTAACACCTCTGTCCTCCGGGTGTTGGCAGCTGTTGATTGTCTTTTTCTCATTCAGTGTGAGATCTTCCCAGTTCTTGGCATGAGTGATTTCCAATGGGAACATGGCCATTTTTTAATGCTAAAACTGTGTTTATTGTAAAACAAAAAGGTCTGACATACTCATTCCTGCTATAACATTTTCAGAGAAAAAGGGAAAAAGTAGGAGGCAGGAAAGGGGCTGGGGTGGCAGCATGACCAGGGCCCTGCGGTGGCCCGCGGAGCCCGGGCGCAGGCCCCAGGGGACCCTCCGTCACGCTCTCTCACCTGCCGTCCAACCACCATCCCTGGTCGGCGCACGTTCTGTACTAGAGTTCACGACACCTCCCTGAGGCCGGGCTGCGGCAAGTGCCCAAGCTCGGCTTTCCAGGCCTGTGGGTGGCCCCGAGGAAACGGCGAGGCGCAGCGCGGGGCCCCGGCGTCCCCGCGCGCGGACCCCACGCCT